ATTTCCTCCTTTCCCCCAAAAAAAGGTCCATAACTAAAAAAAATAAAAATAAAAAATAAAGCTACAACTTCTCCTCCATAGCTGTTAGGAAAAGACTGTTTCATTAAAAGCAACACCACTTCTGTGCAGAGAAGAAAGCTGCTGTGGGCACATCATCTCTATCAGCTAGAAGAGCACTTGAACTGGTGGGGAATTTACTTTGGCGTGAAACCAGATCAGCAATCTTATGAGCAAGAACATGTACACATTCTTGCATGCCTCTCCACACCCCCCAGCAGACTGGCACACTTCTACATGTACATACGTATTCCTATGCACCCTTGAGAAAAACAACAGCTTTTGTGTTTGTGTGAAAATTGACAAGTTTTCACTTAATTGTTTTAATTCTATCAGGTAGTCTAGCTTTTTATTTTATAGATTTGTCATAAACAAGGAAAATGGGAAACTGCAGTGCAACGTTTCTAACATTTAATATGATGGACTGTATGAAGGTGACGTGCCCTACTTGATGGTGAAATTTAAGCCCAGTTCTACAAAGCGCTTAACCATCTGCTTGCTTCTGAATACATGACTAGTTCTACTGATGTCAGTGAAATAAAAGCTGAACATGAGAAAGGGTTCTTCAACAGCACTTGTTATCACCTGTTACTGCAATGTTTGTAAAACTATGAAGTCAGAAAGCAAAGTCTATCTTCTCTACGATAAAACATTTCTATAAGTGTATTTCTTCTCATTTTGAGTTGCATTTAATTACTCATCAACCCTGCTTTTTATAAATCTTCATGTTTCTTATAAATTGAGAATTTAATATCACAGTGAAACAAAAGTAATTCTGCAATTTAAATTGCAGTTCAATTACCCAATTATTGACAACTAACAGTATTTCTTTAGGCTACAGTGGATTAAAATAGCTCCTACACATATTAAAATGAGAATACCAGAGCAGAAAAATTAACTTCAAATTTATTTTTTTCCCTTGTACAGTACAGCCTTATAAAAGGGGTACCATTATTTCAGTTTGACATGCGGCTAGCAGTGTGGACAATCATTCAACAGGTACCTTTGAAATGGATTCTCTCTGGTCTTATAGCTATACTTAGCTATGAACTTAGGACTTGGCTATACTTAAAATGAAAAGTATGGCTAAGTCCTATACCCTCAGACACCTTCCCCGCTGCAGGTTCTTATTCAGCACAATAGCTTGAAATGCTGTTCTGCTCAGCGTCATCCAAGCACAGATCAAACTATTTTGTCTAAGGCCTCCCATTGCTCCTGACACAGGCTGGAAATAATGGCCAGGTTTATTGCTGTGTTATTATTGCTCTAAGGTCAGGCTCCCTACTCTTTCATCCATTGTTCTGCACTATCCCGTTCTTGCATTTGTTCATCTTGACCCAGCTCACACTTGTGAACTGCATTGCATTTGTTAGATCAAGGGGCTGCCTGCCATGCCTTAGAGCCCTAAGTAGGACAGTGGTCCTTAGGGTAAATGGAGCATGGTATGGAGAAATAAATGTTATTCTCCTCATCCAAGACTGAAATGTGCATGTTGTATTTGTTGGCACATCTCTGACACTGACTTAACTGTTCTTTCTTCTTAATATGTATCAGGCGCTCTTTCCCCCTCTCCCATGGTTACTGCACAAAAGTTGAAATAATACCACACAAAAGGTGAAATTTACTTCATTCTGTTCCATATAGGTCACAGCTTTGGGCAGTGCAAGCAGGCAAGTCTTTAAACTGTTCTTAAAATAGTGTTTTAACATTTATTTTCTCTACTTGGAAGCATCACGATGAGAAAGATTTAATTTTTCAAGCTGCCACTACAAGTCTTTAGTACTTTTAGAATACCTAGCTGTTCAAAAAAAACCTATCAGGTGGATTCCATAGTATCAAAAGAAATGCTTTAGCACCTCCCACTCTAGTGTAAATACTATAATTTTCAAAGCAGCCCAATGGATTTAGACGTGCAGCATATGCTTAATTCTGGTTTTGAAATTCTCAACATAAGCCATACATTTGTGTGCACAGGCAAAGGAATTGTTCTAGACAGGTCTGTCTAGGAGCTGCTGTGCAGTCAGACAAGGATCAGTGTCAGAGACATTGTCAGGCACTTGGCGGCTCTTTGTGGTTTCTGATGGTCTTCTCTGTAGGAAGTCAGACTCTTTGTGTGGTCTTCTGTAATGGAGCCAAAAATGATGTCGATATACAAAGCATAACAAGATTGCAAAAGCAAATAAATCTCTCTCTACTGCAGCACATTAAGGAGAGAGACTAATGAGCCCAAACCAAGATCTCAGCTTCTGAAGTCCTCCGGTCATGTCAGGATTTTTGTTTCATTCGACCTTTCATTTTAATTAAAAAATTGATACTTTTGAAGAAAAGATGCAGTATACTGCGTGCTGTGGTGTCATCCTGAGATCTTCAGAGTAGCCATGAACACAAGCGTTGCCTCCCACTGACATCTCTTCACAAGGCTGCCAGTATCCTGCAGACAGTTGATGGAAATGCTGTTTGCCTTCAGGCATGTTAATGCTTTTGACGTGTTGGGGTGTACAGACGTCTTGTGTATCTTGTGCCTAAGGCAGGATTAGCAGACTTGATAATTGCCTGACCCAAAGCCTGACCCTAGAGCACACCATTAGGACAGAGTATGGACGTGCCACCTGTTTCAGCTCTTTCTAGCTGGAAACTGTTATTACGTCCTGTTCTCTGGAGGGGAGGAAAATGAGTTTTGCTGCTTTTTCCAGAGGGTGGGAAAAAGATGTTGTATTGCTGCTTGTACCTTACTGAGAGCACTCACTGTTCAAAGCAGAGAGATGTCACCCAAGATGGGGACTCTTCAGTTGAAGGAGAACTTCAGTTGCAATGAGTCCCAAGCAGTCAAAATCGAGATGACCAACATGGTGCAGACAAAGTGAAAATGACTTTTGAGATGAGCTGAAATTCTGAGGAGTAGCAGCAGTCACCTCTTTATATTCTGAGAGCTCTGCAAGGAGGCTTAGTCTCTTCAGTAGCTGTTGTTTTTGTGATCATCTCATCTACTGCATGCACAGTGGTGCCTGGAAGGGGAGCAATGACTTTATGGTTCACTGTGGGATTCCCCAACACTATGCACTGGTGATGACTTTGGCTCCTTATGGATACTGAAGCCTTTGAATGCATTCAAGGCCATATTGTTGTGACACTATTAAAACACACTGGATTAAAGATCTGTGAAGTTTTAAGTGGAGTCATTAGTTAGGGACAGAGAAGTGTCTTGCTTTTTGCACTTTAATTAAACTTGTGCTCACTGGCACTGTGACCTTAGTGGGAGTTAAGGATCAGTCCTGAAGTCTGTTCTGTTTGTGGTGGCAACTTGTGAAAGTACTGGGATCCACTGGGATCTTTACTTGCACTGCACCAGCACACAACCATTTTGCTGTCACTATTAGTCCTATACTGTTACGATACCACTGGCGTGCTGATGTCTCTGTCACTGCTCTGCGTGCACACTGCCTGCTGACCCTACTGGCAGGGTACGTAAGAGGCAGGACTTGTAGACTCCACTTGCATAGAAGCCCCTGTGCTCCTTCACCCTGGAGAGCCTCTGTTTCATCTCTTGAAAATCCATTGTCCTGGTCTTTATCTCATGCCATATCATGCTCTGCCAGATGGAGACATCTGCCATATGGTCCTAATGCATGGGATTGCGGAGCATGGCATGGCAGGTACAGCTGTGCTGCTTCAAGTCCTGCCCCAAATCAGTCTTCTCAGAAAGCAGTTTTCAAAGGCCCTTCTCATTGTGTGACTACACAGGCAGGAGCATCTCCAACACAGATGAACCCACACATCCCGGATATATGCTTAGAGGTCTGGTAGCTCATTCATTTGGTCAGTAAATGCATATCACTAGAGCAGAGATTTAGGGAGAGAAAATAGCTCCTAACTAATTCTCTGCCCTGTCTTCCTCAAGGTTTTGGTTGCAGGGGCAAAGCAATAAAAGAAAGAATTTCAGTGTGGCCTGGTCAGGATTTATGCTGGTGGGACTGGGACATGATTGTCCTTGTCACTTGATGGCTTGCACTTGGGTTCAGTTTGAGTGATGGCAGAGGTGGATCCGCCTGGCTCCTTCTGAAGGGGGCAGGGCCTCATCCTGTATGACATGCAGTAGCATTGGGTGTACTCCTGGAACAAACAAGTAAACCCTCAAAAGCTGTCTGGAGAAGGAGAAAATGAGAAAGGGGGGAAAAGCCCTCTTCTGACAGCAGCTGCTGTGGAAAATGGTGCCACAGGCTCTCCTTGGCCTTGGTAGGCCAAGGGGCGCCTTCTCCACTGCTGACATGTTTGTGGATACAACAACCTCAGATTTCTCAATCATCTCTCTCTCTGTTTCCCTTGCAGGAACCTGTGAAATTGGCTGGGCCTACTACTGCACAGGTGGGGGCGCAGCTGCGGCCATGCTGGTGTGCACCTGGCTGGCCTGCTTCTCGGGCAAGAAGCAGAAGCAGTACCCCTACTGAGCAGCCCAGGGCACAGGCTGCCACCAGGAGCATGAGGGGCTTGCAGGCATCTTCTGGACCACAACGACAACAAAAAGGAAATTTTTAAGTGCTTTCACTCTGAAGCGGTGCAGGGAGGGATGGTGGGTGGTGCTGGGAGCCCTGGGGAATGGGGTGGACTGTGGACCAAAGCCACCCCACCAGGTTGGATGGGGAAGGGCTTCTTCACCAGAGCGCACCTGTGGTCTACTCCACAAATACATGACTGTGTAAGCAAGGAAAGCTCCATTTTGGCAAATTGTGACATTCTGCGTGCACCAGTTAAGTGAGGGATTGGTGAGAAGATGGTGCTGGAGGCCTGGGGTAGTACCTGGTGGTCCCTTTAGCACGGTGTTCCTGAAAGCACAGACACACACACAGATGTTGACCATGGCACAAAATGAGTAGAGAGGAAACCTTTTTGGTGCGATTCTTCTTTCTTTTCCTTTTATTTTTTATTTTTTAACTTCTTTTTGGTGGTTTAAAATTCAGTGTTACAACACTTTTTAATCTATACATTAAACTTAATAAAAGGACCAATAAGCCACTTTATCAGTATTTCAGTATTTTGTATATTCTCTACACATTTCTCTTCCCCAAACATTTAGCCACTGCTTATTCAGCCCTATAGATCTTTTATTAAGCCTCTGTGTTTTCAGCGTTATTACAAAAAATGCAACATAATAACTTGGCATATGTAGCCTTTGCCTATAGTACTTTTATGAAGTGCAGTAAATGGACGTTTTTCTGTCCATTGAAAATTCCACTTACAGTACTGTAGAACTCTGTTGGTTCTGTACGACTGACAGGAAAACTTCTTCCAGACATAGATTTTTGTCGCTGTTATGTTTAGCTCATTGATGTTGTATTGTGCTGTACCATGTTTATTATTTCAATATTCATTTTTGTAAAAATATATATATATATAAATGTGCTATTTTATGTTTGTATTTGAAAAATCTGTAAATAAATTTTTCCTTGATCAGTATTTGCAATTTGTGCTTGTGTCACGGAAATAATCATGACTTTTAAACCATGCTGTATCCTTTTTCCCTGTAAAACATATAAACATATACATTTAGGGTTCAGTTGCATTGCCCGAGGATAGATGTCTATTATCACTTGATATGTGCCAGCATATCCAACAGTTTTGCCTGATGCTGTTAGGCTGGATGCAGGACTTCAGGGAGACCTTCTCCATTCTGGCTTGTCAGCTACCGACTCAGCATCTCACACAGTGCTGTGTACCCCCGTTTGGTTGACTGAAACAAGCCCTTCCTTTTTTAATAGCAGCTGCACTGATTAAATGCCTGCCAGGAGGTAATCCCTTCACAAGGCACTGGCACCGTGCATACAAAACTCAAAACAAAAAAGTTATTTTCTTTAAGAAAAAAACAAACATGAAGAATAGCAATTTGTAAGAGCTTTTCAATCATGGCTTTAACTGATGTTATTCTGGTTCAAATGTGTTTTTCTGTTCTGTTTTCTCGATATGATATTTCTGTGATTGTGTATTTCAAAGCTACCATGTATGTTCTAGTTACAGTTCTTCTGGTTCTTCTGGTTGAAGCTGTTGTAACTCTGAAATTGTGCAGTTGCTCCATACGTTACTCTCGGCAGCTTTTCAGAGGTTTGTAGAAATAGCAACGTCAGTTACAGAGATCAATCCTGATATTGCTGAACTGGATTTTATTGAGTTTCATTATAGGCTAAGCAGTATTTATTCACTTTATGGTGCTGTGTGGTGAATATAAAATTGTACGTTACCCTTCACAAATTAGCACATAATAGCCACATCACATCCAACTACAATTTTGCTGAGAACCACACCAACCATGCTATGGAGATGTGGGCTTGCCTCTCTGTAATATCTTCCAGTGGTACCAGCAGCAGTAGGACATTGAGCACTGCACTCTTCCCTCCTGCTTCCAGGTTTTCTAGGCTCACCCCTTTTCATGAGTGCTCAGGGCCCTTCCAAACCTGCTGCTCGAGGTCAGTGGCATTCCGTATATCTTCATGGTAAGTACAAGATTGCCCATTGGAGTTGTGAATTGACACTATTAAAACCAAGAGAGGTATAAACGCAACTTTGGCTGTGGTTCCCCTGGCGCCAGCTAGATCTTTGGCAAGTATCTCAGAAAAATGCTGCCTTTCAACGGCATGCAACTGTGGAAACATGTCTTTCCTTCCACCGATATTGCAGTTTGCTGTACAAAGTTTCAATGACTTGGCTATAAAAATATGTGTTATTATTCTAAATTTGACCCTCCCTAGATTATATCCCTGTCCTTGCATCATAGAGAACATTTTGAATTTGTTTCGATCTTCCTGTGGTCAGGTTCTGGCTTGATTTATCATGATAAACTGGAACTATGCAATTACTTCACAAAGAAAATTATTTTTTTTGTTTTGTTACAATGCCATACAATATAACATGACTGACTTTCTCTGAATCTGTATACAATCTCCTTTTTAATTTGGAGTTGAATGAAGTACTGATTTTTAATAATCAGGCCAATGATATATGTGCTGCACCTGCTCTGTAGCTGGTTATCATATAACCTTCAGCTGCTGTGATATGAATAAACCAATCACAGCTTAATTAGGTTTGTCTATATTTGTTCATTTTTGTTCTGATATCTATTTGCACTAGAATATAAATAACATTTGTTATCATGGTTATCACAGCTACGAACTCCAATAACTTTGAACTGGACAAAAGACTGCTTTCAATTTCTCAGTATGAAGTGCCAATTAAATATTTACAATATTTAGTATGTTTAATTTTTCATTTATTTATTCTTGAAGATGAGGAGCTTGGCCTTATATTTGTCAAAACAAAAGATGTTAGCTTGGGCAGACTCCTAGATTATTGAATTCTGTCTCTGCCATTACTGGCAATTGTATCATGTAATCCTGTTCAGAAATTTATCAAGCTCTATTTTAAAACTATTTCAGCAGTCTTCCCTCTACTACTGCATTGTTATTTCAAAGTCTCACTCTCTGTGTAATTTGACATTTTCTATGTTCCAGGTAACCCTTTATTCCAGAGCTCACTGGCAACATGGAGATCAGTGGTCATAGTATGCTTCCAACAAATACACTGAGCAAGCAGCAAGTTTCCTCCATCACTCCTAATACAGGATCTATATAGAAACAAGTCGTATGGCCATAGACTGCTGTTCACTATCAGAAAATACTTTAAGATAAGTCACGGGATAGCTACAACAGGATAAGTCAGGTGGGAATGGTCCTCAGGAGGTCTCTAGTCCAACCTTCTGGGTCATCATTAACACCTCCATCCCCCCAACCTGTCTTTTCACCAAACCAAGTAAATACCAACCTTTGGCCTCCTCACACAGGACAAGCCCTCTAGCCATGAACTTGATTACTTCTGCTGGACCTGCTCCAGTTTGCTGATGTCAGACTTGTAAAAGTGAGTCCATAACTAGACACGATGCCTACATGTGTTCTAACAAGTGCCACAAGAGGAGGACAATCACTTGTCTGCAGATGTTGTCTCTGCTAGTGTCAGTGCAGCCCAAGAAGCTGTTGCCCACCATTGCTGCCAGGTCACACTGCTGGCTCCTACGCAGCTTGCTGTCCCCAGAATCCAGGTCCTTTCTTTCCACAGAGCAGCTCCTTGGTGATGCAGTCCCTGACCTGTGTCACTGCAGGGGCTTTTTCCTTCAAAAGTATGGAACTTGGCATTTGCCAAGCCTATGTGAAAAAACATGTTAAAATCAGTGCAAATGATAACCACTGCTCTTCCCTCAATCACAAACATAGTTTTTATCATATAAGTCAGTGTTTAGGTCTGGCAGAATTTACTCTTCATAAATGCATGCTGATTGCTTCCAGTCAGTGAAACTAGGTCACGAGGGGTTACCAGCGGAAATGAGACTGGGTTCCTGTTGCTTTGTGTGTTTAGCTTTTGCTTTGAATAACCAAATATGGAAAAATTGGTCATCAATACAGCTAGAAATATTCAGGGTAGAAGAAAAAGTGAACTGTGGAGGTTCAGAATTTATACATAAATTTGAGTGAGACAAGTGGAGGTGGAGGAACTTGCTGCAATAGTTTATTTGCATAAGTGAGGTCTTTGGGAATGGCTTCAGGAGAACACAGATTGAGTAGGAAACTCTCCCACACGAGCCTCAGAGAGCTGGGGACTTTCATCTCCCAAACAGCATGGTGTGTAGTGCTGAGTTTCTTGTCCTGAGCATTATTTCCTGAGAGAGAAAGTGCAAATTCTGTTATTTAAGCATGAAGTCAGAGGGAAGCTTTACTGCATAAATATGAGGCATGTGAAGGCCCTGTCTGGAGTTTGAGAGGGCATTGTGCTCTTTGTGTAATAAAAGCCATTACTTTTCAAGACTTGCATGTTAACAGATGACTCAGTTTTTCACTAAATGCCATAGACTTTGCTCCCTCCCAAAAATACCGATGTATGTCTGTGGAAAAAAAAAAAAAATGTTTTGACTCTGAAATGAGAGTTAGCTGGCTCCTGTGTTGGTTTAACTCCTCTATTTCCTTTTCCGTGATAGAAAATTCATAAACCAGTTGCAACTGCAATTTATCTGTCATTCTAGAGTTTGAAATAGTCTATGGAAAACATCAAACTGAATGACAAGACAGATAATCTGTACATCAAAATAAGCATTCATTCTCTTCTACCTACTTAACCTTTCAGAGAGACAATGGTGAAATTAGATATGTCTTTTTTTAGAAGAGACATTTTAGTGTAATCCCTTAAGCAGACAGGGTTTTAAATATATGCCTTCTGGTAAGCATTAAGTGTTTTTATTATTGTTATTTAAATAATGGTGGATCAGAGAAAGTGAGGAAAACTTTGGAACATGGCTTCAAGCTCAGTCCTGTCAGTGGCAGGAAGCATGGTTATTTGGTTAAACATAGCTCAGTAGCTTTTTCTCATGTTCCTCATCAAGAAACAAAATGAAATCTATAGGGGTGTTTTAGCTAATTTGCAGAGATGTTTTCACTGAGAAAGGACAGAATCTGACTCCTTTCAAGGACAAGCTTATGGCCTTTTAGTCTGCTAGATGTATCTGCTAAGAATATGAGTATGTTAGGGATATGCTGTTACGATGAGCATATTAAATGAAGCCATCACAAGGAAAATGTTAATCTGAGTTAATCTGAATAGAACATACGGCACAACTTCATTATGTGTATCTGCATCACAGGGACCCAAAGCACTGCTATTTCCTTTCCTTGGCTGCAGCTGAACTATATGTTAAGCATCCTCCTTCATACAGTGATAAATTGTAGCCCTTATATGTCTTCTCAAGGAGCATCACTAAAAGTATGACCATCTCCAAGTATGTCCCAAGAACATCTTCCACTAGAGCTGTCATAAATTAGTTTGGCTTTGTCAGAGTGGGAATGATAAAACAATTCTAGAGCAGAAAGCAGCCACCTCTCACCTGAAGCCCATACTAAATGCAAGTCTACGTTTGCAGGGACAAAGCTGTGCCTCTCACAATCTCTGGGGACAAGCACAGAGAGAACAAGTTAAAGACAGAACAACCCCATCTTTCCTGTCCCCCTCAGAGGCAGTCCCACCTTGGGCAGAAGGAAATGCTCACACACAGATCCCACAGCATCCCTGGTGCATGAAACCCTGCACCAGGCCTGAGCTCTTGGACCAGGGGTACAGACAATGGCAGTGGCCATAGTGCTCAGGTGCTCCGGGTGATTTTCAAAACTGTACACAGCCCTTCTCTGCATACATGAATGTCTTCACACTCTTTTCATTCTCCAGGAGCTATGGGTAACTTTGACCATCTTCACACTGGCCAGCAAAACTGTAAGTACCATTGATAATGTCAGACTGTAGGGCTAAGTAGACAGGATCCTGTTGCAAAACACTTTTGTTCTCGCTCATCACCAAAAAACTGAGTGCTTCATCATGTCACAGGTGGCAGCATGCTACACAGGACATCAGAGCGCGTGGTTTTGTTCAAATCCCTCTGCCCCTAAGCCCAATAATTTTATTTTGTACCCTAAACCTCTGTCAGGTATGACTGCTTTACAGGACCTACGGCTTTCGAAAGTGTGGTAGCTGCTAAATGGAAAGCAAACTATTCATGTGAATACTTTGTTTTCTGTTAAGGATCCCAGTCATTTCAATGGACTTGGACCAAACTCTGTGACCCTGATCCAAAAGCTATAGAAGCAAATGGTAAAAAGCCCACTGGCTTAACTCAGGCACAGACTCGGAGGGGGGGGGGCGGAATAAAGATAAAATTTCTATACCTGGCTTTGTCTTAAGTTCTGGTTAACTGTCCAGTTTTGTTTCCTATGGAGAAAACACACATACATATTTGTAAATATGTAGGTACATTTTATAAACAAAAATGTCCTTTCTTGGTTTTGCACTTATCTAAATGCTCCTTATCATCTGAGAATTAACTAAAACAAGGTCCTACAAATGGAAAATATACAGAACATAATATTCACAATTAGCCTTTATTTATGAGTTGTCTTCACAAATAAGAAACTTAAAAAAAAATGTTTTATTAGTTTTACAAGCAAAACAAGCAGCTGAATTTGGATAATAAAGTCCACATCACACCTTTTTGTGATGCAAGCCAGCTGTGCGTCCTTATCTTGCCTGTTTCAGAAGAAGAAAATTAAAATTGGATTAATGAACATAATGAACATTTCAAAGAATATAAAGTAAAATCTGTTATATGATGTAAGGCTGCAGTGCTTAGCTGATATTACCATGCTGGGTTGGTCTAAAGGGACTCTCTACTGACAGATGGAAAGGACAAAGAACAGAAAGTAGAAATGTGGTCATATACTGGGGGATCATTGAGGACCCTGTTACAGGTGGTAGTAGACGTTCTGTACTTACTACAGACGTTCTGTACTCACTACTCACAGTTCTTCATATGAAGCATTAGGGTTATTCTCCTCTATGTTATTCCTCTGAAAATAATCAGTAAGCTTTCTATTTGTACAGCACCTAGGACAAATATTTCCAAATCTATTAATAGGCTTCTGGTTTCTATCCTAAAGTAAAATAACTCCCACTTCCCAGTAAAAGAAAGCATTAGTAAAGGACTTTCTTCTGCTGAGTGGTAAGGAAACACCAAAAGGAAATCTCAGTTGAAATGCAAGCTATAATTAGGACAAAATATTTGAAAGGACAGAATACTTCTGTGGAGGTCAGAGGCCATGTTAAGAATTATGAGTGTGAGATACAGCCAGCTTATTTGTTTTCAACATATTGTTAGTTTTTTTACACTTCTAGGATTAATATCTAATTACGGTGCACAGAATTAAAAAGACTGTGTGCATTGCTACACCTACCTCTCTGGCTAAAATCAGAGCTTCTTTTGCACAGCAACTCTGTCACCCTGCTTCTGTGTGTTGACTTCAACATATCTGTGTCCCCTAAAGCCCCCTCAGGAACCTGACCCTATCCCTTCTCAAAAGCCTGCTGTGAAGGGAGCATCTATTGCCATTCTCTCCACATCACACTTTCCAATCCTTTGCTGCAACTTGCTGCTGCAGAGTACGGCAGACACTTCTGGAAGGTTTCAAGCTGTTTCACACTAACTGATCAGAGTACCTAGTTTCAGAGTTATGACAATCCGTTGCCAAAAGATGCCATAGTATACTGCTGTAAATTAAGTGAGTTCACTTCCTGAGCTGTTGTTATACTCCAGTCTCAACAATTCAACAATGAAAATGTCAACAATGTCTATATAGTAGTAATCACTAATATCTTTTAATTTGTTTTGAGGTCCTGGTGGGCAAAAAAATGTGCAAGAAGAAGCCACTCCACAAGCAACAGGACAATCTGTGGTAAAAAAGGAAGAAGTTACCTTTTTACAAGGCAGCAGCATATAGAAAATAAAGCCAGCCATGCCCAGATGTGTAGTGACATTCTAAGACGAAGCACGTTAAGCGTTTAGGACTGAAATGAAATATTAAGCAATCTGCATTTGTTGTCAACATGTAGAAGCAATATTTGCCTCTCTCTGAAGAGTGACTGTTTTTATCATGTACTGGTAAGCAGTTTCATGACTTCTCAATCTGTAGGTTGTTATGCCTGTGCATACTGTCGACATCTAGTAATGTGAATTATCGGGCAGCTTTCTGGGCCAGTCTGTCTCTCAAGGGGAATCTGAAAGAGTTTTTAGCTAATGGTGTCAGATCACTGAAGCATACCTTTCAGGAGCCGATTTTGTGTGACCTGTGGCCTGCAGCATAGCTATGCTTAACTTGCAGCTATCAAACAAGCAATCAGAGAGACTTAACAGATGACTAGACAGAAACTGCTGAAAAATGATAGGAGTCTACAAATAAGATAAACTGAAAACTTGTTTTTAAGTGATATTGTTAATACACTTGAATGAAAATCCTTGGTATTGAAATTCCCAACACTGCATCAGAAGACTTGTGTATATAAAAAACGTGCCTGCTTCCCATTTTTTCAATAATTTATGTTTCAGACAGTGAAGCTATTTTTTTTTTCCCAGCTCATCCAATATTAGTAAGATTGAGGTCTAATTAAATGTTTATTAGCCTTGCACTTGTCCCTTCTTCTCTCCTCCTCTAATCCTGCTCCTACAAAATGTTGCCCTTCCTGGTGGAAGCCATTGTATTCATCAGTACAAATGCTCTCACTCTCTACATGAACATTTCAGGGTTGTATTTTTAAAATAGACAAATGCTTTACACAAAAGACTTGGCAGTCTAGTTTATACACAGTTTCCTTTGGGAGCCACAGTAAAACTCCTGTGAATGCAGCACTCAATGCAGGGCACTTCACTAGCTTTCATAATTAGGAAACATTGCTGACTGAGCCTCATTCAGACAGATGATTTCAACAGTCAAGAAGTAAATGTACTTAGCAGCAAAGCATGCTCTTCCTTTTTCATTGCTGCTAAGACAGCAGGACCATTCAAAGCTGCCTTCAGCACAATTATAAAATGTTTTGAGCTGCTTGGAGCCATTTCAGTCAATCTGAATGTTTATTTCCTTTTATAGCAATGCGGAGTGAAGGTGCTGACAGTCTTTGAAATGCATTGCTCAAGAAACACAGCAATTCACGATCCAGCTTCTGGGGCAGCTGGGAAGCTGGTTTTAAGCTGTCCAGCGTTTTCAGCAGCACAGGTATTGGTCCCTCATGCTGACCTTGAGATGATGCTTTAACCAGCTGCAGTGCTTTGGGTGGGGACAGACCTCAGGATCAGTGTGGCAATTTTGAGATGTTTTTCTCCCTTCCATCACAGAATCATAGAATAATACTCACCCTGAGTTGGAAGGGACCCACAACGATCATGGAGTTCAACTCCTGGCACCACGCAGGACTACATAAAAATCAGACCGTGTGTCTGAAAGCATTGTCCAAATGCTTCTTGAACTCCAGCAGCTCGGTGCCATGACCACTGCCCTAGGGAGCCTGTCCCAGTGCCCGACCACCCCCCGGGTGCAGACCCTTTCCCTAACCCCCATCCTGACCCTCCCCTGTCCCAGCTCCATGCCGTTCCCTCGGGTCCTGTCGCTGTCCCCAGAGAGCAGAGCTCAGCGCCTGCCCCTCCGCTCCCCTCGTGAAGGAGCTGCAGGCCGCCATGAGGCCTCCCCTCAGCCTGCTCTGCTCGGGGCTGAGCAAACCCAGGGACCTCAGCCGCTCCTTTGGGCACTGACAGCTTTGTGCCCTCCTTACACCATGGCACCAGAGCTGCACACAGTGCTGGAGGACAATCCCTTCCCTCACCCAGCTGGCAGTGCTGGGCCTGGTGCACCCCAGGGTACGGTTGGCCCTCCTGGCTGCCAGGGCATGCATGCTGCTGGCTCCTGTTCAGCTGGCTTCTCGTTGGTGGCCAGTGATAGGACAAGAAGCAAGGAACACAAGCTGGAACAGGCTGCCCAGAGAGGTTGTGGAGTCTCCTTCTCTGGAGATATTCAAAACCTACCTGGATGCCATCCTGTGCTCTAAGTGACCATGCTTGGTGGGGAGGGGGGGGGGGGGGGCTGTGGACCAGATGTTCTTCAGAGGTCCCTTCCAACCTCAGCCATTCTGTGATTCTGTAACTTGTTCTTCAGGGCAGGGAGCTGCCTATGATATTATGCCTATGGTTTTAGCTGGGATGAGGAGGTAACAGTTCCATGAAGATATGAAATTCCAGTATATCTCATGACCTTAATAGGTGTGTCCAAAATGACAACTCAGACCACCTGCAGGACTGATTTAGTACATCTTGTCTCCACACAAGATGCCTCTAGATGACTCAAATGTGAATTGAAGTGCTTGTGCTCTGCCTGACTGAGAATACTGACTGGATACTCACTACCAAAATCTTGAGCCCCATGGAAATTAAAAAGGGCATTCAAGTATTTAGCAGGAACGTTTCCTAATTAGCTTACATTTCACTGATAATCTGCTGTGGAGACCAAATTGCAACACCTAGTCCACCAACCATCTTTTCTGCTTTGCCCAGCTTTGTGAGACTCATACCCCTAAGACCACTTCCAGATGTTATCTATAGTATTGTTTTGTTTGTTTGTTTGTTTGTTTTTTCTTTCTTTCTTTTTTTTTTCCCCAACCTATTTACCTCTAGCCTTGCAGCTGTTTAGCCCTCACCAATCTCCTTCCTAATTCAGTTTTCTGAACTACACTGGTATCTACAGACAACTGTGTTTTCTTAATGGGTTAAAAAAAGGAAGAAGAAACGTGTATATGTTGTTCAGTATTATTTCTTGAAATTAGACTTCTTTGCATAAAAAAGATTCCTCCAAACAGTCAAGGGAGGCATGTCCTGAAGATCCTTTTAGCTCCTAAGAAACATGCATTGTGGAAACTGTTTACTGTCTCCTGAGTAATGGAGTCTGTGATAAGCCATTTGTTTTGTGGGAAAACAATGTCACCTCAAGTATCTGAAGGATATCATAATGACTGTCCCACACTGTCAGTGTTCCATTGTATCACTTGTCTTCTTTTTAGTACACTGCTGTATTGAAAATTAATGCAGGGTAAACAGAAAAATGCTGCAAACATTTTAAACATCCTGTGAGTTTCATGAATGTAGCTGTTGACTTCACCAATATTAAAACCCACGCATCTTGCACAGAACATGAGAGCTGGCGTTAGGAAGACTGGCCCTGTTGCATCATTATTCTCTAACTCTGAAGTTGGTTCTTTTCTGGAACCTGACAGAACTTAGGTTATGTCACAACCTGACAGAGGTTTCTTAAGGAGGCTTTGGATTATGGGCACAGCATGGGCTCCCTCTTGTGAGCCATGCCTAATGAAAAAAGTCAAGATATTCTCAGCTGTCATGTGATATCAGTTCAGGACTAAACCTCAGAAAATCTCCGTAACACTGGGAGACTCCATAGCTTTGTTTGATTTGTGGATCAACTGCCTGTGGAGAAATGGCATCCAAAAATAGCTGAACATGACGAGGGGACATGCTGGGGAGCTTTTGCAATGGAGGA